TTGCTTCCCACCAACGGATGGGACAGTCGTTGGACCCCAAACATCAGAGTGGACGAGCTCAAGCTTCTCCTTCTTTGGGGTTCTTCTACTTGTCTGAAAGCTGACTCTCTTTTGCTTTCCAAGTATAAAGCCTTCACACATGTCAATTTCTATTGACTGGAGGCCTGGTAATTTTCCTTTTGAGTGAATGATCTTCATCCCTTTTTCACTCATATGCCCAAGTCTTTGGTGCCATAGATTGGGACTTTCATTTGTTGCAACTGCAATCAAATGACACGCTCCTTTGGTCTTGTAAAAAGTACCACTCTTTTTGCCTCGAGCAATTGTCATCGCACCCTTTGAAATCTTCCAATCATCGCCATGGAAGATTGTCGTGTAGCCTTCACTGGCTATCTGGCCTACGGAGATTAAATTCTTCGTCAGGTCGGGAATATGTCTGACATTTTTCAATTCCCAAACAGACCCGTTCAACTTGATTTTTACTGCACCTTTGCCGACAACCTCACATGATTGCTCATTACCAAGGTAAACTTTACCAAGGTTTCCAGGAACATAATTCTCGAATAGTTCCTTCTGTGAGGTAGCATGAAAGGATGTTCTAGAGTCTAACACCCAAGACTCTTCTCTGTTCTCCAAAGAACATATCAGCGTGTCTCCACCTGAGACTAAAGCAATATTTGCCTCTTCTTTTGTCTCCTGACCCTTCGGTGCACTCTTGCACTGATTTCTGTAGTGCTCGGTCTTCCCACAGTTCCAGCACTCGATCGACTTCGAGTTTTGGGAACTACGATGATTTCTGGACCTGGATCTTCTTCCCTTTGATTTGATATGTCTGCTTTCTTTGGTTGAACTTATTCCTCTCGACTCTGTATGCAATACAGAAGAGGTTGATGATTCAACGGATTCCCTCCGCCGGATCTCTTCACTGAGAACCAAATTTTGGACATCATCAAATCTCAATTTATTACTTCCCGATGAGCTACTCACAGCCATGACCGTAGCATTCCAACTTTCTGGTAGGGAAGACAAAAGTATTAAAGCCCGTACTTCATCATCGAACTCGATCTCAACTGAACTCAACTGAGTTGTAACGGTGTTGAGATCATTGAGATGATGTGCCACCGAAGCACCTTCGGTCATACGCAAGTTGAACAATCGCCTCATTAAATGAACTTTATTTGAGGCTGATGGTTTCTCGTACATGTTGGAAAGAGCCTTCATGAGGCTTGTTGTCGTCTTTTCTTTCGCAATGTTAAAAGCAACATTACAGGATAACGTCAGTCGAATGGCTCCAATGGCCTGTATGTCAAGAAGACTCCATTCTTCCTCCTTCATGTCTTCTGGCTTCTTTCCCGTGAGTGGTTGATACATATTCTTCTGGTACAGATAATCCTCGATCTGCATCTTCCAGAAGCCAAAGTCCGCACCATCGAACTTTTCGATTTTCATTTTTCCTTCGTCTGCAGCCATCACTTCGTCTCTGATCTGACTTTTCTGCCGCATCGTTTCTGTAATTTTTTGTGAACTACCGTGTTTCAGAACACGTCGGTAGATAAATTTGTAGCGCCGACAAATTTGGC